CCCCAGTAAATTCATAAAATTTTTCTTAATATTACAACGCGTTTTTTCTCTCAGCGTAGTCATTTTTAAGCAAAATTTGTGCAATCAAATCGAAAACCGGGACATTTTAAGGTTGGACCGGGACACCGGGACAAATAGTCTAAAACCGGGACATGTCCGGGAAAACCGGGACGTCTGGCAGCCCTACACACAAAGCGCATACTTTCATACGATTTTCTTTATCGCATCTGTGATCGCATTTGTGTTCTGGATGTACAATAGTCATTATTTCCTGACAGAACGAGTACATAAATACCAAAATAAATCTCATACAAGCTTTGAATTTATTTACTTATTATGAGGAGTACCGTTGGCCTAAGTTAGGGCATTTTTATTTCTTGCACAAGCGCAGTGCGACTTGCCTGCGCTACTTGCTTATAGCAACAAACCTTTAATAAAAAATTACTACCGTATTATATAGCATACAATATTGTATACATACATACATATATTGCGATATTGAAAGTGTTTGTAATGAGAAAGTTCACGCTACAGAAAAAGGTAATTGTGGTGTTTTATCTAAGTTGTATACCGGTAGCGCCCAATAAATCTCGATCAGTTATTCTTTCGGTAGGAAAAAATGAAAGTGTTTCTCATTGATTTGATCCGTTTTAGTGAGTTAAAAAAGAGGAACAGATTTGTATGAGATTTCTTTTCGTATAAATATGATCTAATTATCGAGAAGTACGCCTTCCTCTTTTGCAAATATATCCTATCAGAAGTATATAAAATATGGATAAAATGGATATCTTTAAAACAGGAGCAGCTAGGATTTCAATTTAAGCGGAATCTTAACCTTAAGATATCAACAAATACAACCCTGCTTTCAGATTTTGTCGACATTTTTATGCAACCTATCTTCGCTTCCTGCCCACCGTGTGGTGAAATTAGCTAAATACCAGCATGCTGCCGCCATCAAGTGTTGGTGCCAGCCGACTGACTGTGTATGTTCTTGCGGTGTGATTGTACCAGCTGCTGGTGCGACATCAAAAATGATTTGATATTTTTATGTTTGTACCAGCAAGCTGGTGTCGTGAATGGTGAAACTAGCTCATATTTTTTTAAAGAAAAAATCATTTTCGCGGAAATTTCTTGTCCTATATGAGTCAAAGCCGCGTTTGTGGAAGATTAAAGTTCACAATATTGCATTTGTGCATTTAAAAAACCAATGTCTATCAAAATGGTAGAAAAATTATGAAATTTCGGCTCTACTCATTTCGATCTTTTCGGGACCTAATTTGTAAAGAAATAAAGATTGTACCAGCATGCTGGTATGTTATATGCGTCGAGCTTGATATTACAATCACTTGGTGGTGTCAGCAAGCTGGTGTCGTGTATTTCCCCTTTAAGTAAAAAATATTTTGGCGGAAGTTTCAAAGCCGTGTTTGTGGAATATTAAGTTCACGATATTGCAGTTGTGAATTAAAAAAAAAACAATGTTTAACAAAATGGTAGAAAAATTATGAAATTTCGGCTCAAATCATTTCGATCTTTCCTCGACCTCATTTGTAAAGAAATGAATATTGTACCAGCATGGTGGTAAGTTATATACTTGATCGATCCAGCAAGCTGGTGTCGTATATTTCCCCTTTTTTACGAAAAGGTTTTTGGTATGTATGTATGATTATGTAAGTAAACAATTTTTGCTACCATTTTTAGCCACAACGACTTTTTTAGCTCTTTTTTAGCCCTTTTTTAAAGGAATTTGGCTACCACTAAAAATGCTTCGCGGCAACACTGCTTATAAGCAACCTAGAAATAATTTTAGATTCCTCCAGCGAAAGCGAAGGCTCGGATGTAGAATCTGGAGACATTAAAAATGTGAAATTAAAGCTCAATTGAAGGCCTATCTTAAAGAAAAGCGAGCTCATCAAATACGACCAATTGACAGATCTGGCCCGCAAATATTTGAGCGCGCCGCCCGCCAGCGTACCAAGTGAGCAATTGTTCAGTGCAGCCGGCCTTATATGCTAGCCTCTAAAAGCTCAGTTATGCAAGACTTAGACTTGACTTGACTTGAAAATCATATATCTGGCAAATGAGCAGCGCGTGTATTTAGTTACCCAAAAAAAAAAACATGTTCACTTAGAAACTTGGAGAACTATAGATTTTTGATTTCTAAGTTAAATTTCTAAGTGTAAAGAGAGCCGTTAGAGAATCATGCCACATCGTTTTTTCACATATCTATACATATAATAAAATTGGAACAGGTCGATGTCTGTAATTATAAATATTAAAGAAAAATTAATGTGGGGGTCTTTATTAGAGCACCAGAAGCCAAATCAACCATTTTTGGAATTTTTGTCTGTCTGTCTGTATGTTTGCACGCGCATCACTCGAGAATGAACGCATGGATTTGGATGCAGTTTCCACCGATGTATTGATAGAGGTCTAACTTAAAATATAGAAAGAAAAAAATTAGAGAGTTTTCACCTGTTTGAAAATTGCAGTATAAGTAAATTGATAAGAAGAAGTGAAAATTGCAACATGGGCGTCAAAAGAAAGAGGCTTAGAAGGCTTACAGGCTTAAAATTTTAATTTAGTTTAATTTATAAGATAAATTGAATGTTGCAATATGAACTGAAGAGGGTTAGGAAATTTTACTGTCGAAAAAATTTTTAGGGGAGGGTTGCCATCTATTTGAAAAATTTGATTGTATTAAATTGATAAAATAAATGAAATACATATCTATACTTATAATAAAATTGTAACAGGCCGATGTCTGTACCTTAAAGATATTAAAGACAAATTAATATGGTGGGTTTTTATTAGAGCTACAGAAGCCAAAGAAACAATTTTTTGAATTTTTAACTCTCTGTCTGTCTGTATATTTGTACGCGCATCACTCGAAAACGTGGAATTGAATGCAGTTTTCACCGATGTATCGCTAGAGATTTAGCTTACAATATAGAAGAAAAAAATTAGAGAGTTGCCACCTGTGTTCAAAATTACAGATTAGGTCAATTGATACGGTAAAGTAAATACTGCAATATGGCTGTCAAGAGAAAGAGGTTTACAAAGGACTACATCTGAAAATATTTTTGTGGAAGGTTTCCACCCATATGAAAACTTTAATTTAATTTAATTGACAGCATAAATTAAATATTGCAATATTGGCATCAAACTAAAGAGGCTAGGAAATTTTAATGCCGAAAATATTTTTAGGGGATTTGCCAACTGCTTGAAAAATTTTATTCATTTAAATTTGTAAAATAAATGAAATATTACAATACGGACATTAAACTAAAAAGAATTAGGAAGCTTACTTTTGAAATATTTTTGAAGCGGGTAGTCACTTATTTGAAAACTTTACTTCAGTTAAATTTATAAGATAACCTAAATGTTGCCATATGGGTATCAAACGAAAGTATTTGAGAATAATAAAATTGCAACAAGGCGATATCTGTACATAACAGATGTTAAAGATTTTTATTGAATTATAGCACAAATTGAGTTAAACTTTTGGCAAGTAAAATTAATCTTTTGGCAAATAAGTTTAATCTTTTGGCAAATAAGTTTAATCTTTTGGCAAATAAAATTAATCTTTTGACAAATAAATTTAATCTTCTGGCAAATAAATTTAACCTTTTGGAGAAAAATTAATCCTTTGGCAAATAAATTTAATCTTTTGGCAAATAAAATTACACTACTGTAGTACTAAACAGTTTTTGAAAAAGTAAAAAATACACTAAAAACTTGGTGTGCTCGGAGAGCATTTTTTTACTTTTGACGCTTAGCGTCAATATCAACAGTTAACCTGCAGGATTTCTGAAAAGTGTTTTTTGGTTATTCTGTTCTGTTGATTTCACAGCTCACTTCGAAAATGTTTTCTTTATTACAATAAACAAGCACATGATGATTGTTGTTTTTTTAATTCCTTTCCATCATTCAGCTATCTTCGAAAAACAACTGATAGCTGGAAATGCTGCAAATGTTTCCGCAAGGGTTGCAGCATGTGGATTTTAGCTACGAATTACGAATTACGAAAATTCGGGTTCTAGGATAAGGGGGTACATTTATTTGCCAAAAGATAAATTTTATTAGCCAAAAGTTTAACTTAATGTGTCAATGCTATAAATACAATTTTCTTCGATGTATGTACACATTGCTAGACCCCTAATTGAAAATATAGAATCCATTTTTTTTTTGTTTTAGTTTATCGTTGATCATTATCCCTAGGTATTTGAATGTATTAACATTTTCCAGTGCGTCGTTGTTTATATTTAGAGTTAGCAACGGACTGTTCTCAAAATTTCGCCTTGATATAAACACAAAACTTAATTTTATTAACATTCAATTAAGTGTGTGCAAGCATAACCAATCGCACTTTTTTGGAACTTCTGTGTGGAAGGTCTTTCGCTAAAAAAAGCAAAACTTTTTGTTGTTGCTGCCAAAAAATTACGGAATCTGAGACGTCACGCTTTACAATTTCATACAGTTCTCTGTAGAATGTATTTCACTAAACTACTAAACGGCTGCAACGATTTGGTTCATATTTGGAACATATGCCAGCACCTTGAAAATAAATATTCCGACCAAAAATTTACTCGGTATGTAGCTCAGGATATTCCTAAAATTCTTATACAGACTAAAATTTAAAAATCCAATACATCTCTAAAACCAATTACGCTGGGGAACTGAAACTTAGCACTGTTGCATATATTGCAAATGCATTGGAAAAGGGGGCGTGGCACCTTCCATACTTCTCATATAGCTTATCTCTCGAACCGCTTACGCTAATGTCCTGAAATTCGACACATCTACATATGTTATCAATACCGTACTTATGGCGGAAAGTGGCAAGTAATGGAAAAGGGGGCGTGGCCGCCCCATGCTTCTCATTTCACT